CATTTGTCAAATGAATCTCTTAATGTAGTAGATTAGTTAACAATTTTAATTTAGATTATTCTTACATTCTAAGATAAACTTTAATTACTCATGATGCATTATTCTTTCAAAATACACCTAAATTAGATTTGCATATTGACTCTAAGGGATTGGGCCTGTTTCTTCTCTTGTGTTGTCCTTTGTCCTCACTGGTATCAGAGTTATGTCAGGATTATAAAATGAATCACATAGCTTCCCATCTGATTCTGTGCTCTAGAAAGGCTGGGATAGGATGGGAATTATGTCCTTTAACTGCTTGGAAGAATTCACTGTAGAACACAGACCACGTTTGGACCATGTACCTTTTCGGTAGGTATTTTTTTGACAACGATTTCAATTTCTTTTGTGGTTATGGGTATATTCGGGTTTTTTCTTTATTGTGGATCCAAGATTTGACATTTAGGTTATCTTCAATAATTGTCCATTTCATCAAATATATTGGCATAAATTACACATGGAATTCTGTAATAACTCTTAAAATCTCCTCTATATGTCTGTAGTATGTCTCTTTCTATCCCAATGTTAAGTTTATCTTTTTTAATGAAACTTTATAAAAGTTTATCTAATTGCTTTTTCCCCCCCAAAAAATCTATCTTTATTTTCTATTTTCATTAATTTTAGAGTTGCCTGATTTATCAAATAAAAATGTAAGATGGGACGCCTGCTCAGTCCATGGAGCTTGAGACTCTTGATCTCAGCATTGTACGTTTGAGTCCCACATTGGGTGTAGAAATTACTTAAAAATAAAATCTTAGGGGTACCTGGGTGGCTCAGTCAGTTAAGCCTCTGACTCTTGACTTCAGCTCAGGCACTTATTTTCTGTCTTTCTTGTTTTCCAAAAAAGTGCATTTAAAACTACAGATTTCTGGGGCTCCTGGCTGACTCAGTTGGAAAAGTGTGCAACTCGATCTCAGGCTTGTGAGTTCATGCCCCACATTGTGTTGGGCATACAGATTACTTTAAATACATACATACATACTATGGATTTCCTTGTTTGGTCCCATTCTGTGGATCTTAATATGTAATGTTCTTTTTTGTTCCATTCTAAATAATCTGTATCTTTTTTTTAAATGTTTATTTATTTTTGAGAGAGAAAGATTCAGAGCACAAGTAGGGTAGGGGCAGAGAGAGAGAAAGACACAGAATCTGAAGCAGGCTCCAGGCTCTGAGCTGTCAGCACAGAGCCCGACGCAGGGCTTGAACCCACAAACCATTAAGATCATGACCTGAGCCGAAGTCGGACACCTAACTGACTGAGCCACCCAGGTGCCCCAATAATTTGTATTTTCTATTTTGACTTTCTCTTTAATCCAAGAGTTATTTACGTGTCTCTTTTTATTCTTAATTTTTAAGTGTATAGATTTGGGAATGGTTCTTTTTATCCTCAATTTCTAATTTTATTACATTGTAATCACTGCATGTGACTTGAAATTTGTTAAGCTTTTCTTTATGGTCAAGTATCTGCTTCCCAAACTTTCCTGGTGTTGTGGTACATGTAAAAAATGATATTTGTGCATCTCATTAGGGTAAAAGGAATTTGGAGCCCCAGACTAGGATGCTGGTGGGAGTCAGGCTATAATCCCCAAACCTCTGGCCCATGGGACACAGGTCCCACATGGTATACAGGTTGGGAAACTGACCTACTACATGCTCAATTTTTGTCCATGTTTTATGTGTATTTGAAGAAAATGCTATTTCTCTGCCTGTTGGATATATATAGATATATATAGATATAGATAGATAGATAGATAGATAGATAGATAGATATAGATATATCTCAAATATATATGGGATACATATATTTGCATATGTTTAAGATTTTAATCTCTGGGGACGCCTGGGTGGCTCAGTCAGTTATGCATCTGACTTCGCCTCAGGTCATGATCTCCTGGTTCATGGGTTTGGGCCCGGGATCAGGCTCTGTGCTGACAGCTCAGAGCCTGGAGCCTGCTTCAGATTCTGTGTCTCCCTCTCTCTCTGCCCTTCCCCACTTGTGCTCTGTCTCTGTCTCTGTCTCTCTCTCAAAAATAAACATTAAAAAAACAAAAAGCTTTTAATTGTCTGATTCAAATCTTCTATAGTTACTTCTTTGGCTCTGTTTTTCTCTCAGTGATCACATCCTCCACCTTTCCTTCAAGTGGCAAACACTATCCTTCATTTGGTGCTTATCATCCCATACATTTTGTTAGGTTTTAACCACTACAGACGTATCCGGAATCAATACATAGTATTCTTTCGGTTGTTTTAAACTTTCTATAAATGATATCTTACTAGGTGTATTTTTTTGCCAATTTGCTTTTTTCATGCAACATTACATTTGTGAAAGACATCCCTATTCTGAAGGTGAAGCTCAAGCTTAATCATAATTTACTCAGATTTGCTTGTAGTACAACTTTTTATTAATAGAATCCGAGTTAACTACTCATTTTCCTATTGATGTGTATTTCTTTTTTTTTTTTTAATGTTTATTTATTATTTTTGAGAGAGAAAGAGCGCACAAGTGGGGGAGAGGAAGAGAGAGGGAAAGAGGATCCAAAGCAGGTTCCGTGCTGACAGCAGCGAGCCTGACGCAGGGCTCGAACTCATGAACCATGAGACCACGACCTGAGCTGAAGTCAGATGCTTAACTGACTGAGCCACCAAGGTGCCCTTGATATATATTTCTAATGCAGATTTCTAATTTTTTTACTTGTACCGTGTTGCTCTGAACATTCTTGTGCAAGTCTTGTTGACTTCCTAGAATGAATCCTCAGAATGAAATCCTAGGCCTTAGGTTATGTGCATTTGTAATTCTTCTAGACATTACCAAATTGTTCTCCAAAGTGGACATACTAGTTTACCTTCCTGCCAATGGTGCAGAATAGGTCCTATGGCTCTACGTTCTCACCAACAATTGGTATCCCATTTATATTCGTTTTTGCCAAACTGGCTAAAAAAATGAATCACATTATTATTTTTCTTTGCATTTTTTATGAATCTTAGGAAGGTTGATCATCCTATTTGTCATTGGGTTTTACTTTTCTGTGAATTTGTTTATATTTTTGTCTTTTTCTAATGGGTTATTTATATTTTATTGATGTGTAGGAGTTCTTTATATAATCTGCACACCAATCTTTGTGGGTTATATCTGTTACAAATATCACCTTTTGGATTGTAACTTCTCGATTTTTTTTTTTTTTTTTTTTTGAGAGAGAGAGAGAGAGAGTACACACATGAGCAGGGAAAAGGCAGCAGGAGAGGGAGAGAATCTTAAGCAGGATCCACACCCACCATGGAGCCTGATGCGAGGCTCTATCTCACAAGCATGAAATCATGACCTGAGCTGAAATCAAGAGTCCGATGCTTAACCGATTGAGCCACCCAGGCACCCCTGTAACTTCTCAATGTTTATAATGACTTTTAATAAGCAGACATTGTCTACATGTTAATGTTGTTGAAATTACCAATTTTTTCCTTTATGGCTTGGGTTTTTGGCTTCGTTTTATCCTAAAGAGCAAGACCATAAAAACATTCTCCCGTTTTCTCTTCTAAAAGTTACTTTTCGGGGTGCCTGGGTGGCTTAGTCAGTTAAGCGTTGGACTTTGGCTCAGGTCATGATCTCACGGTTCGTGGGTTTGAGCCCCGTGTGGGGCTCTGTACTGACAGCTCAGAGCCTGGAGCCTGTTTCAGATTCTGTGTCTCCCTCTCTCTCTGCCCCTCCCCTGTTCATGCTCTGTCTCTGTCTCAAGAATAAATAACCATTAAAATTTTTTTTTAATAAATAATTTAAAAATATATAAATAAAAGTTACTTTTCAGTTTGAGTCCTTATCTAGAATTCATTTTTGGTATATCTGTGAGCTAGGGATCTAATTATGTATAAGGGGTTATCAAGCATCACTAGTATAGTTCTTCCTTTCCCTATAGATCCAGAGTGTCCATTTTGTATAAATCGTTTTCATAAATAGTTTGGTCTGTTCTGAGCTTCTGTTCTGTTCCTAGTTGTCTACTTGTCCATCCATGCACTAATGTCATTCTGTTTTAATAACAATAGCTCTATATTAACGGTGCATGTCTGGTAGGAAAAGACCCCCATCCTTTTCTTCTGTTTCATTGGGCCTTGGAAAATCCTAAATTAAAAGTTATTGTCCCTTCTGAAAGAATGGTGGCTGCCAGGAGCTGTGGGGAGAAGGGAATGGGGAATTAGTGTTTACTGAGCATCGAGTTTCAGTGGGGATGACGAAGAGGTCTGGAGCTGGATAGATTGGATGGTCACGCAACAATGTGAATATACTTGTATGCCACTGTGTACAATTAAAAGTGGTTAGGGGCGCCTGGGTGGCGCAGTCGGTTAAGCGTCCGACTTCAGCCAGGTCACGATCTCGCGGTCCGTGAGTTCGAGCCCCGCGTCGGGCTCTGGGCTGGCTGATGGCTCAGAGCCTGGAGCCTGTTTCCGATTCTGTGTCTCCCTCTCTCTCTGCTCCTCCCCCGTTCATGCTCTGTCTCTCTCTGTCCCAAAAATAAATAAACGTTGAAAAAAAAATTAAAAAAAAAAAAAGTGGTCAAAATGCTCTAAAAAGTCAGCGTCTCTTAAAATTATGAAGATACCATTGCACCGATATTTTTTAATACAGTGTTTTTGATGAGAAATCTGATGTCTGTTTGATTCTCCCTCCCTCCCTCCTTTGTAGGCATTCTGTTTATTTTGTCTGGAAGATTTTAAGGCTTTTTTCCTTATCTCTTCTATTCATACATTTCATACTATTTGTACCTATTCATACTATTCATACCTTTCAATCTGAGAAAGCAAGTCTTCTCTGAATGACTTATTTAAATGTTCCGCCTCTCTTACATATTCTATAGTCTTTCTCTCTGGAACTCTGATTAGATAAAACTGAAAATTCTAGATCTTTCACGTATCTTGATTATGTAGAGAACTTTCTAGCTCTGTTTTCCAGTTCGTTAATTTGTTTTCCAGCAAATCTGATGGAGCCCTTTTATTATTTCAACAATCAGATTCCATAATCTCTGGTTTATTCATACTTATGTGTATTCAGCGTTCACAAGAATGTGAACACAAGTCATAACTTGTTGCAAAGCCCTAATCTTCTTGCTCTACGGACTCCATTTTCTCAGGTGGAAGTTTGACCGTCTCTCTCTGTCGTGGTGGCATTCTTCAAAGTTGGACATTCTTGATTTTTCACTCATCTCTGTAGAGGGCATCTGTTAGATCTACGTCGCATTGCTTTTCTTGGCCTGTTTTGAGAAAGGATAGGATTACCTACAGGATTACCTATAGGATAGGATTACCTATAACCTGAGGTTATACCTCGGTGGCTAGTGTTCTGGTACAGATGCTCCTCATTCTTCCCAGACGTTGCCAGACACTGAAGGTGGGGCCCTGCCTTATCTTTCTTACTGTCACCTTCCTCCCCATTTTTATTCACTGGAGATAGACACGACCATTACTATTATCCGGCAGAAGGGGTAGGAGAAGGTGGTGCTGAGGAGGGATCAAACCATCTAGACATTCCTGCTGCGGTCCCCGAATCAGTCAACTTATTTGAACTTTGAACTTTTTCCTGCTGCTAGCATCTACCAGTTTGGGGCAGTGAGCATTCAGGGTGTCCTTCCTATATTTTGCAGCAAAACAAAAACAAAAAAACAATATTCAAGTTTTGGCTATCATAGATCTTTTTCACCTGCGCCTGTATCATACAGGCATTTGTCACAATTTCTGGTCCCTGGAAATTTCCCCCTCTTGTTTTCCATGCAGTTGTGATTTTCTTCATCTACCTTTTCCATTTCTTACAGACCTTATAGAAATTTGGAGCTGGAAGAAAAGGTTGTGCCACTTTTGTTCAATCTGTTATCTTCAAGTTCACCCTTTTATCATGCTTGAGTTATACATAAAGAGAGAAATAAGACAAAGAAGTGATCCATGGGAACCAAAATATCACCTTTTCTGATAAAAGTCACTGAAGGGGCACCTGGGTGGCTGAGTCGGTTAAGTGTCTGACTTCGGCTCAGGTCATGATCTCGTGGTTCATGAGTTCAAGCCCCGTATCAGGCTCTGTGCTGACAGCTCAGAGCCTGGAGCCTCCTTTGGATCCTGTGTCCCCCTCTCCCTCTGCTCCTCCCCTTCTCACCTGCTCTCTCTCTCTCTCTCTCTCTCTCTCTCTCTTTCAAAAATAAATAAACATTAAAAAGAGAGCCACTACAGAATGTAGCTTAGCATGGAAGGCAAATGAGCTTACTAATACTGAACCACACAGTATTATACCGACTGAACCAGCCAAACCCAGCAGCCCCAAGAGGGGCAGATCCCATCACCTAGGTGGCCCTGCCCTGCAAGTAGCCGAGTGGGTGCTTTCTTGGGCTGCCTGGCTCCCAAAGAGGAAGAAGAATGAAACCAAGCCATTCATGCTCAATTTATTATTCTGGAATTTACCAATCAGATTACATCACCCTCTCCAAGAACACAAGGAGATCTACTAAGTCAGGTTCCTTCACAGATGGAAGTTGTATTCATTCCCTGTTGGGACTGTAACAAATTACCACATTGTTACTTAAAACAATGCATCTTTATTCTCTAGTAGTTCTGGAGGTTGGAGGTGCAAAATCCATTTCACTTTTCAGAGGTAAAGTCCAGGTGCTAGAAGGGCTGGTTCCTTCTGGAGGCTCTGAGGAAGAGGAAGAATCCCACTCCCCCCCCCACCTTTTTTTTTTTTTTGTCATTTTCAACATTTAGTGGCTGCCTGTGCTTGTTGGCTGTGTCTCCTTCCTCCGTCGCCAAAGCTCGTCATTCCCATCTCTGGCTTTGTCATCACATCACCTTCCTCTCTGACTCTTCTGTGTCCCCCTTTAAAGACCCTTGTGGTCACATCAGGCCAACCAGATAATCCAGGATAACCTCCCCACGTCAGGATCTTAACTTAATCACATCTGCAAAGTCGTTGTTCGCAGGTTCCGGGAATTGGGACATGGATATGCTTGGAGAATAACTCAATCTATGGCAGAAGGTAATATCAAAAGTCAGTTAAGAATTATCCCCCCACTAATATTCCCTTGATTTTTGTTCTCTTAAACCGCTGGTTTTAGCCATTAAGCCTATGTCAGCAGAGGTGTGTGTGACATCCTCACGAGAGGACCTCAGGAGCCTATCAGAACAGTCCTGCCCCATCTTCATGAGACTACTCCTCCCTCTTATATTACCCAACTTTGTCCCCTCCCAGGAACACTGGTGGGCAAGACAGATTTCACTCACAAAAGTTTCCAAAATAGTTCCCTATATGCATTAATTAAATAGTTCAATGCCATTTTGTACCCAAATCTGAAATTTTCATTTTTCTTTTATCCGCTTTTATCATGCCTATCCATGTTTTCCACATAGCATACCAGAGGATCAGGATTGAGATTTAAAAAACATTTTTTTCCAATGTTTATTTATTTTTGAGAGAGACAGAGAGAGCGTGCCTGAGCAGGTGAGGGACAGAGAGAGAGGGAGACACAGAATCTGAAGCAGGCTCCAGGCTCTGAGCTGTCAGCGCAAAGCTCAAAACAGGGCTTGAACCCACAAACCATGAGATCATGACCTGAACTGAAATCGGACCCTTGACAGACTGAGCCACCCAGATGCCCCGGAATTGAAATTAAATGACAAAGGGGCGCCTAGGTGACTCGGTTGAGCTTCGACTCTTGGTTTTGGCTCAGGTCATGGTCTCAGGGGTTCATGGAATTGAGCCCCCGTCAGGCTCTACGCTGCCAGCACAGAGACTGCTTGGGATTCTCTCTCTCTTCTGCTCTCTGCCCTTCCCCCACACATGCTCGCTCTCTCTCTCTCTCTCAATAAATAAATAAACGTTTTTAAAAACTGATAAAACTGGGCTCCTGGGTGGCTCAGTCAGTTAAGCGTCTGACTTTGGCTCAGGTCATGATCTCACGGTTCATGGGTTCAAGCCCCACATTGGGCTTGGTGCTGACAGTGCAGAGCCTGCTTGGGATTCTCTCTCCCTCTCTCTGCCCCTCCCTCACTTGTGTGCACTCTCTCTCTCTGTCTGTCTCTCTCTGTCTCAGAGTGAATAAATAAACTTAAAAACATTAAAATCACTTAAAATAATAATAATAATAAAATAAAAATAAAAATGACAAATGCACTATTCCCATTATAATATGCACAACAAAACCTCAATAACAAAATGCTAATAATGTTGAGGGGAAAAAAATTTTAACATAAACATCTTCCCTTTATCAAATGTCTAGAGAGAAATTAAGGTCCAAGGCATGAAATAAAAATCATGAGACATTAAGGTTCAAAGAAAGCAAGGTTCAAAACAAAATTATCCTGTTTTTGTGAATTAAAATTCAAAGAAATTAAAGTCCAAAATTCATTTCCCCCAACTTTTTATTCGAGCTGCTCTGTCTCAGATGGAGGGGATTTCGATGTTTGGGTAGAGGCAGGGATCTTTAGCAACTATATTTTAAGCTGGATCTCACTGGAATGGGGGCAGCTCCTAGAGGGCCTCCAAATTAGAAAGCAATAGTTACCCCCAGCAAGTCTGTACTCTGCTTTTTCCAAGAGTCTATAGATTTACAGAACATGCAAAATGATCACAGCACCCGCTCTACACACACCAGAGGCAGAAAACAAGCCGATTTTTCAAGCAAATTATCAAGCAAAATACATTCCCAGAATCAGTAGTGCGGGTCGCCAACAGCATTTTGGGTCGCCAAAAACTGTTGCAGAAATAACAGCCTCACCAGAAGCCAGTTGAGTGAGACCAAGAATCCAGAATTGATGGACTGTGAGTTAAAACCCAGTTAGGAGGGGGGCGCCTGGGCCGTTCAGTCCGTTGAGAGCCGGACTTCAGCTCAGGTCATGATCTTGCGGTTCATGGGTTTGAGCCCCGGGTCAGTCTCTGTGCTGACAGCTTGGAGCCTGGAGCCTGCTTTGGATTCTGTGTCTCCCTCTCTTTCTGTGCCTCCCCTGCTCGCATTCTGTCTCTCTCTCTCTCTCTCTCTCTAAAACAAAAAAAATAAAGACTTTTAAAAAATAAATTTAAGGGGCGCCTGGGTGGCGCAGTCGGTTAAGCGGCCGACTTCAGCCAGGTCACGATCTCGCGGTGCGTGAGTTCGAGCCCCGCGTCAGGCTCTGGGCTGATGGCTCGGAGCCTGGAGCCTGTTTCCGATTCTGTGTCTCCCTCTCTCTCTGCCCCTCCCCCGTTCACGCTCTGTCTCTCTCTGTCCCAAAAATAAATAAACGTTGAAAAAAAAAAAAATTTAAAAAATAAATTTAAAAACCTAGTTACGAGAAATCGACTAGCTACAGGTTAATTTCCGCACAATGGCACCTTGCATTTTTCACATCCAGGAAGTTCCACCTCTGGCAAGGCATTTGAGGGGCTGCTGCCTCCTTGCCAAGTTAGCATCGCGCAGCACTGACAACATCTTCGTGGATCAGATCTTATCTGTGGAGCTGTCCTTTCCCACCCAGATATTAGAAACCTCTTAATTTCCGAGTCCCTTTTGAATTTTAGTTGTCTGCACTGCAGTGTTGCACTGAAGGTGAATTCCGTCCAGTGACAGAGCTCCCAAAGTAACCAGTAAGCATTTTTATTCCTGTGCTGCAGTGGCTTTTTCCACCGCCTCTTTCTGTGGCATTCCTCAGGCGGAAGAAAACCATCACCTGGGGAGGATTTCTCCATCCCATTTCCGTAACCAGTTTCTAGCAACCTCGAGGACAAGTAGAGGGAGTGATTCTTGAGCCACATAAATGCAAACTTAGTCCATCCACTTTTGCCCTTGAAGATAGTTCAAAACAACATAAAAGAGGAATCAGAATTAGGACTGTTTGTTTACATTACCCACCTAAACTTAGTACTAGCACATTGAAAACTAATCTCTCATTAGTGCTCTGTGGTCCAAAGAGAACCCAGCTGCCCCCACGGTTTAAAAACAGCAAATATTTTTCTACTCCTTCAATATCTAAAAGGGCAGTATATGAAAAGACTGTTTCTTTCTCCCTATAATTGAACCCTTGCCTCAGCTGTAACTGCTTATTAAGACCTCTTCAGCCTGCTGGCCCCTGATAAGTCCCTCTCGTGGCCCCTGTGCCCTTGCCAAAGTCCTCTTACAGCCTCAGAGTGGCTTTTCTAAGGCCTTTTTTCCCAGGCCACAGCTGTTAAGAGCCCACTGCACCACCATAAAAACCTACCTGGCTCAATGTAAGACTGCCAAGATCGAAATGTCCTGCACACACACACTAAAGAGCAAGACCACAGGGCCAAGGCCAATCCCATGCCACTCCAGAAGCCTCAGTCACTCCATGGGCATTCATTCGCTTCTCCCTAATTGTGTACCTTATTTCTCCCACACCAATTTTCTGGCCGATGTATCAAATGTCGGAACACTGAAGCAGAGCCCGATAAATAGCACCCCTTCCTCCTTTTCTGAGTTCAAAACAAACTGAGATAAAGGAGTGGAAGGAGAAGGCCAAAGTCGTACCTAGTTCCTGATAAAGCTGGGTTGAGAGTCAGAAAAGCTTCCCAGCACCCAGCTGCAGAATAAAATCCCGCAGTCCAGGTCCAAGGGGGATTTGCCTTGCCGTGAGTGGAAGCGTCAGCCCGCCCTGAGAGCAGACCTCATGCTGGCTGGATTCCAAGGAGGAAAGTGGGTGGGAATGAACTGAGCATGCCCACTTTATTTTCCCCAAATCTGCCCCTCAAATCATGCCCCTTTTCCGTTCAGGGCTGAGTTAAGAAAGGGCAGAGAAAATGCAACTGCCTTCACTCGGAAGGGTAGTTTTGGCTTGAAAAAAAGTTTTTTTTTACTAGTAAAAATATTATATGTATTACTTGAGTAATTAAACAGCATGACCTTTTTAAAAAAATTTTAATGTTTATTTATTTTTGAGACAGAGACAGTGGAAGTAGGGGAGGGGCAGAGAGAGAGAGAGAGAGAGAGAGACAGAATCCGAAGCAGGCTCCAGGCTCTGAGCTGTCAGCACAGAGCCCGACACGGGGCCAGAACCCCCCGATGGTGAGATCGTGAACTGAGCCGAAGTCAGACGCCCAAGTGACTGAGCCTCCCAGGTGCCCCCCCCTTTTTTTTTAAATTTTTTTTAATGTTTATTTATTTTTGAGACAGCATGACCTTTTAAAAATCAAAATGCTAGAAGCTTCCCACCTGTTAGACTGCAACACTATGGCTATAGTCTGAAATTCTAAAGATGAGATTTGAGGGGCATTGTTAATTAGCATTAGGGAATGTTTCCTCAGTAGTTTTTCATATGTCTTTATGAAAAAAAAAACGTAAATTTGGAGTGCCTGGGTGGCTCAGTCAGTTAAGTGTCCAACTTTGGCTGAGGTCATAATCTCACAGTTCTTGAGTTGGAGCCCCCACGAGACAGCATTGGGCTCTCTGCTGTCAGCACAGAGCCTGCTTTGGATCCTCTGTCCCCCTCTTTCTCTGCTCCTCCCCTGCTCACTCCCTCTCTCTCTCTCTCAAAAATAAATAACCACTAAAAAAAAAAAGTAAGTTCATACATTTATTAGCTGTGCACTTAAAAACATGATTTACAATTTGGAGCGAGATTTTTTTTTTTTTTTTAGAAATAGAAGGTATGGCTTCTTTTTTTTCTTTTTAAGTTTTTATTTATTTGTTTCGAGAGAGAGAGAAAGTGTGAGTGGTGGAGGGCAGAAAGAGAGGAGAGAGCAAGAATCCCAAGCATGCTCTGCACTGTCAGTGGGGAGCCTGATGCGGGGCTTGAACTCACTAACCCGTGAAACCATGACCTGAGCCAAAGTCAGATGCTTAACCGACTGAGCCACCCAGGTGCCCCTGGAGCCGGATTTTAATAAAAGCTTTTCTCATCACAGAGACAAATGTTTTCAGCCTTCTCAGATTCCCTCCACTGCCTCTTCTGTTCTTTCATTTTGTCAGTGCCCCACCCATGTGAGTCACGGCCCATTTCCAGACTTAAATGAAATGGCAGTGTGTGAAATCAGTTTCTGAGTGGTCACAGAGTGGCCAGACGACACTATCTAGGAGTTTAGGAGGTGAACCCTGGCCAATGGAAATGGAGATGGGAGCGTGCAGGCAGGTAAATGCCCTCTTGTGTCCCTCTTGGACTGCTCTGAGGGACAGCTACTTCCTGCAGCCTTTCTGAAGGATCCCTGCTGAAAGGACTTCCACTGGAAAGACCACTTCCGTCCCTTTCCTCATTCTCTCCATCTGAAACTATTTGGGCTGTTTGGGGTCATCCTGCCCTTGCCTTAGGGCGGCCCTCAGCACTTACCGCCTCCAAGCTCCCACAAAGCCAACATTTACTGAGTGTTTCTCAGGGAGGCAAAGACAATATCACATTACATACCATATAGGAAACCTTCCTCTTTTTTCTTCATTTTACTTTATTTTTTATTAAGTAATCTCTACATCCAACATGGGGCTCGAACTCATGCCCCCGAGATCAAGAATTGCATGCTCTACCAACTGAGCCAGCCAAGCGCCCTTAGGAAACCTTCCTTTTAAATATTTGTTCAGTTTCTATTTCCTCAAAATCTCTAGGCTTACAGCTCACCCATCTCTACTGCTTATTCAACCTTCTCACCAAATTTTCTTCCAATGATCCCCCTCAGCCTGTGGTAGGTGGAGAACTTTGGTCTTCCCTCACATTTTAATTCTCTTCACTGCCAGCCACCCTGCTGAATTCAGCAAGCCCTCTAGAGTGAGCTGAGTATACAAAGCATGCATTCGTCCCGTGGACAAGAAGGGAGGTATTGCCAGTACATCATTATAATACATCTTTCCCTCTGTCGCACGGGCATAAAACAAAATCCCAAGCAGAGGGAAGAGAAAGTTGTCAGGGGTGAAGCAAGTGTGGGGCCTCGGCACGCTCAAGTATGTAGTGCAATCTGGTGGAGGAAAAGGAGATCGGGAACAGGGATCTCGAGGCAGGGGCAGATATGACCCGAAACTGGGTTCAGAATGAGGTCGAGTCACCTGTGCTGAAGGAGGGCAGGAGCTGGGAACGTGTTTTCAGGAAACACTGGCACAGGCAACAGGAGTGCAGTTTAATACGCGATCTTATATCAACAAACATCCCATATGTTTACTGCCAGGATCAGAACTGATCCCAGTGGCAATGAGACTGATCCTGAAGGTAGACAAATGGATCACCTGCCTGGACTCGAGGGATGAAGAACCAGGAAGCCTGATGAATATTAACATCTCCCCTCACACTTAACAATACATTCTCCTTATGTATTGGTTTCCATTGCTGCTATAACAAATCACCACAAACCTAGTGGCTTGAAACAACACAAACTTAATACCTTGCAGGACTGTGGGCTAGAAGTCTAACCTGGGTCTCACGGGTGGCAATGAAGGTGTTGACGGTGCTGCATTCCCTTCTGGAGCCTCTAGGGGAGGCTCCTTTTCCTTGCCTCTTCCAGCTTCTAGAGGCTCTGTGTTCCTTGGCTCCACAGTTCCTTCCTCCACCTTCAAAGTCAGCAAAGGCACGCTGAGTTCTCTCATCCCATCACTCTGATGTCTTCTGCCCTCCTCTTCCAGCTTTCAGGACTCTTGTGACAGTGGATCCACCCAGATAATCCCAAATAATCTCCCTGTTTGTGGGTCAGCAAATGAGCAAACTTAATTCCATCTGCAACCTTCCCTCCCCTTTAGCCATGTAACATATATTCACAGATTCTGGGAATTAGGGTGTGCGCATCTTTGGGGCTCCATCATTCTGCCTACAATACGGCACTGAGTGCTATGGAGAAAAACAAAGCAGGGATGAGGGAGAAGGAATAACCAGTCTTCCATAGGCGTGTCTCTGACCACAGCTGCTTTTGCTTTGAAGGATTCATTTGATTAGATTGGGCCCAGCTAGATAATCCAAGCTATTCTCCCTGTCTCCAGGTCCTCAACATTAATCACATATGGAAAGACCCTTTTGCCACTTACGGCAACACTCATAAGTTCCGGGGAATAGGATGTAGACGTCATGGGGAGCCATTATTCTGCCTTACACATCTTATCTGTGATAGAATTTTCTAGGTGTCCAGGCTTCTCATTGACCCTGAAATTTCCAGCTGGAGCTCTGACAGAAGCCCTTGAGAATTCAACTAGTAGATACAATGACCTCAATTTTGTCAGAAAGCAAAAGATTCTTCCCCCTTAACTCCCTAGATTGTAAAAACATGTGTCCTCTTCTCTCTGCTTGGAAGTAAAGCAGCAGCATGATGCCACTACCACCATTAAGATACAGAAGAGTTACTGGGGCGCCTGGGTGGCTCAGTCGGTTAAGTGTCCGACTTCGGCTCAGGTCATGATCTCGCGGTCTGTGAGTTCGAGCCCCGCGTCAGGCTCTGTGCTGACCGCTCAGAGCCTGGAGCCCGTTCCAGATTCTGTGTCTCCCTCTCTCTCTGCACCTCCCCCATTCATGCTCCGTCTCTCTCTGTCTCAAAAATAAATAAACATTAAAAAA